ATATTCTGGCACACATTCCCGTATCCCTCTCATTCTCCAATGATGCAGCCTTGTAATATTTATTGTATTATAGGCCTAGTTTGATATTCAAATCAGGTAGGCCTATAACATTTTTGTCACATGGTTGCATAGAGAATTAAAAGGCAGCACTCTGAGACTAACTAGATGTTATTTATTCAACACAAGCTTTTGCTGGCAGTCAATGCCAGCTTCCTCAGGTGTGTGAAGTAAAAAATTGAAAACAAAATAGAAAAGAGCTTATGCATATATAATTAGCAATAGACAACCAATTAGCAGTCGGATACAATGTAGTATACAATGATCAGAGATAACAAGTTTTTTTATTTATTTATTTAGAAAACGCTTTTGCAACAGCGGCAACGTTACAATAATGGTACATCCAAAACTAAAGTAATAAAAAGAAAATAAATACATACAGTAATTAAAATTGTCAAACAATACAATGTAGAAAAAGTCACAAAACAAAACATAAAAGCATTGAAATTAAAATTACATTCGACAAGACTTAATCTCTAATCTCTTGGCCCATGCCTTTTTAAGATAATGATTTGCAAAAATCATCAAAAAGTGGACCATGTTAATTGAATTATTTGGAAAATTAGGTACAAACAGTGCAATCTCCACCTAACATAAGAATGAAGAAAACATCATTATTAAGGAGGATCTGGTTACATAATTCTGATAAACCTGAGTCATAAAGTTTATTTACTAGAGTTTGCTGCTCAGTTAGTCGCAAGTCATCAAGTTTATTATATATAAACAGAAAATGTTGCAAGTCCTCTACACCATTATTACACAATAGACAAGTACCAGTATTATTATTATCCCACTTACTAACATTAATTTTTTCTAATTTGCTAAAATCACTGGCACTATAAGCTGATACAGCACATGCATAATTAATGGACGGGAGTGCAATCATTTTCCACAAAATATTACCATCGTATGACCGTTTATAATGGATTTGATATAGCCAATTAGCTAATTACCTTTCCTAACTAGTTCATTTATATGACAACATTCAGATTGAGTTTTAGAAATGTTAATGCCTAAGTATTTATAATTATCTACTTCTTTGATGTGTTTATTACCTAGTGGCCATTGTTTAACTTTGTTAGTACGTTTTCCAACCACCACAACATTTGATTTATCAAAGTTAAATTCAAGTTTCCATTTTTTTGAAAATTGACCTGCAATTTTAAGCATGTTTTCTAAATCAAATGCATCATTGCCTATCAAAACCACATCATCAGCCCAAAACAAGCAAGGCATTTTTCCCCAAGTGTATAACAGCCTAAATTATTGCAACTTAACATTTTAGAGAGTTCATTAATGTATATACAGAATAAAACGGGTGACAAAACACACCCCTGCTTAACACCTTCATCAATATTGAAAAATCTGTAACAATATCACCAAATTTAACATCACATTCAACATTTTTATATAACTTATCTAAAATATTCCAAGCTTTACCACGGATACCAATGTTCCAGGCAATTGATAAGAGGTCATTTCGCCAAACAGTATCAAATGCTTTACGGAAATCCAGGAATGCTAAATAAGTAGGTCTATTTTCTGCGCTACGTGTAGCAAGAATACTTTTCAATGTGAAAATGTGGTCTTCGCACCTATAGTCCCTCCTAAAACCTCCCTGGATTTCCGTAAGAATACTGTTATCTTCTAAAAATTCTGAAATTCGATCACAAATAATACGGTTAAAAATTTTAGACACACATGAGGATAAGGTAATTCCCCTATAGTTATTAAGGTCATTTTTGTTACCTTTTTTGTGGATGGGAATTATAGTAGCTAATTGTATTAGTAATTAATAAAATTATTGAAGAGAAATGTTTATGATCTAATCAATTTAAACATCACCATTCTTTAGTAGCTCGTTGGTTGTGCCATGAATTCCAGGCGATTTGTTATTTTTGGCACGCAACAAAGCATTTTTACATCATCAAACGTTATTTCTATAATATTTGATAATTCGTTAATTGTCATCAGTATTTATTAAGTTTTCTCTGATATTTAATAAATGCCTGTTAATAACAAGTAAATCAAGCAACTTACTATTCTACTAATAGAGCTAGGCAGATAAACTATCTGTGCAGTCATGGAGCTAATTATGAACAATGGATTCAGTAACAAACTAAATCTTATAGTGGCTAAGAAAGCCTAGATTTATATTGAGGCCAATATTAATGCAACCAAATTTTATGAATAAAAGTTTGTTCGGCAATTAATCTGTCATTTCTGTTTTTAAAGCAATTAATTAGGAGCACAGCTACTTTAAAGTGTGTAGTATTATGTCCTGGTAAATTAAAATGAACTGCAATATATGTGAACTGCAATGTATGTAAATGTACATAGGAGAAAATGAATGGTCATAAATGTGACATTCGTCACAACAACAAAGATAGGCCTATTGCAGTTCATTTTAATTTTAGCTTTCTAATAATCTTATAAATAATAAGTTTATTTTCTATGCTAATTTTATCCACATAAATAAGTATGGTTGATAAATAATATATAAAATAATAATAATAATATTAATAATAATAATAATAAAGGTGCTCGAATCATGCTTTAATAAAGAATTAATAATACTTCAATAATACTTCAATAGGCATATTGCGATAGTGTGATTAATGAGATATTTATCGATTAATTTATAGAAATATATAATAGGTATATACTGTACCATTAATAAGGATTCAGCATATTAAATCAACTTACGTCTATAGTTGTAACATCTGTTTTTTTCAATAAAATGTTACCTATTTTATTCTGTTTCAAAAAATAATCTCATAAATTACATTATAAAGTTTCATTGTAAATTCTATGAGAATTTAATCCACATAATTTATGTTTTCAATTATTTATTTATTTATTATTTATTTTATTACTTAACACTAATTCAATTTTCCTCTTATATTACGTTTAAATTATATATATATGTAAATTATATATATATATATAATTATCTAACAGAGTATATAATCTAACAGAGTTAGAGAATAACTTCCATGCGATTAATATATATATATATATATATACATACATATATATATATACATATATATACATATATATATATATATATATATATATATATATATATA